AGTGAGAGAGCATTTCGATCAGCAACCCTTCCCCCGTTGTTCACTCCTCCGTCTTCTTCTTGCTTCTCTGTATGTGCCATAGCCGACGTTGGTGGGTGCAAAAGCTTCGGCCGTCACCTTTGAGCTTCCTCCTTCCCTATTCGGCCATTGGGGTTCTCTACTCTTTTCGTGCAACAGCAAGATTTAGGTGCGTCGCCGTTCTGGTGTAGCTGTCAGAGTACGCGGACACTCTTTTTTCGAGCCTCCTTCTTCAGCTCTCAGCTTCTTCTATTTCGCCTGCTCCATCGCTCCTCGTCTTCCGTTCGAGCAGCTGCAGGCAGTGGCGGAGCCGCATGTAATTGAGGAGGCCATATATCCCTTCACTTAAAAAAAAAAAATGATATCTTTGAGAGTATAAGTTTTTATATTTTAAAATTTATATTATTTATTTATTATATTTTATATCTCTTTATTTTTATATTTTGAAATTTAAATTCATTTTAATTTTATTTTTTTAATTAAGATTTATTTAAAATTTTTAATTTAACTTCATGAATATTAATCCACAATTTTAATATATCTAAATATTAATATTATTTATTAATTATTTAAAAATAAAAAAATTTAATATAATTAAATAGACTCGCTCCTCATTTTAAATGTTGTTTAGGAACTAGTTAAAAAAAATAATGATAAATAAATAAAAAAAACAATGATAAATAATAAATCTACAATTAAAAGTTAAATAAAGAATAAAAAAAGAGAGAAATATTTGATTTGAAAAAAATAAAAATATCTTCTTTTTATTAAGAATCCTAACTCCATCAATGCCCCCCATCCAGCTGCAGGGGTGTGCCAAAATCTTTTACTCCTTTGTGTTGCGTTGCCGTAGTTCGCTACTGTAGGAGTCTTATTGGACACCCTGCTTCTTCCTCCGGTGCTCATGTCATCACTATTCCTCTCCCATATATTGCTGTCGCTGATCTGGCTTGAGGGAGGGCTCTGAAATTTTCTCCCTGTTTCGTTGTGCTAATTAAAGGTGAGGACCTTCTAACTCCATGATCTTTGTTATTTTGTTGTGCACGCTGAAATGGGCGCGATTGTGATTCTTTTCCCCTTGCTCTGTTGCTGTGTACGTTTGAATAAGAAAGGAGGGGTTTGAACAAGCTGAAACTTTTTAATCTATTGAGTAAGATGAAGTAATATGGCTTTGAATTTTATTTGAAATTGTATTGATTTTGTTGAAAGAATTAAATTTTAGAAGTTGGGTTAATTCAAATATAAATATTGTAGAGTTATTAGGATGAGATTTGAAAAGAAAAGCTTAGTGTTAAAATTATAATATTAATGCTTATAAGATGTTCGATATAATGTTTGTTAGGAGATGTCTTGTTTGTTCATGTACTTTATGAAATTTCAATAACTTTCATAAAGCGTATTTGGTTTGGATACTAATGATTTGTGAGTTTAATTTAAGTATTGCGAGAGATTTTGTCAATTATGGAGGTAGTGTGTTATTAGATGAATCCTTAAGAGCTGTGTGATTGGATACAAAAGTGAGTATGTGAAATGTTTAAAGGATTGAAGAAATTGAGGTTTGGTTTTTTTTTAATCTCAAATTGGTTTTTAATGGGAAATTGTTTTATTGGGAAGCCTGGTAAATTTATGCGTTGGTGCCTGGAAATACTTGAGCAAGAGATGACTTTTCAATCTATTGAGATAACCAAGTACAATGAAGGTATCATAGATTACATGATAATATGACAGTTAATTATTTCATATACTAAAAGCTTGGAAAATCATTAAGGAGTTTGCTTAAAAGCTTATGGTAGGTTTGATGGAAAAATAAGACTGTAGATTTTAAATATGGTTGGTGGTTTAGCGGCAAATCAAATTTTATCATGTCTTAGGTAAGAAATCGGGTTGTTGAATGATTGATGTAAATCTATGTGGTATAGTCATTGCTAAAGAAATTTATTCGTTATTCTTGTCTAGGTTATAAAGTAGCTTAAGGATAATTGAGAGGTCTATAAGGAACAAGTTATTATCTTGGGAGCTTATCATGTAAGTAGACAACGTCTCAATCAATTTATATATTAAAAAATTTTCTTTTATCAAAATATTATTTTTAACAATTTACAAATGTTTGTATATATTTCTCTTGTATATATATAAATTTTATTAATTAAATTGTTTTAATTCTCGGAGTCATAAATTATACTTTTTAGATTGATAAAAATGCTTTTACAAATTGTAATAGTCTTTTATTTGATAAAGTCAACTATGAAAATTGGTGAACAATTTATGAAATAGTAGTTATGAATTTTCATATTTGGAAATAATGATGTTTTTCTATGTTTCATGTGTGTTTGATATTGAGAAGAGATATTATATTTTGAAAGTAATGATTTTCTTGCACATCTAAAAGTGGATCTAAAGAGGGATTGTATACAGAACACTAGTTGTTAATGGCATTCCGTTAGCCCTAGGTGTCCCATGGTCAATGATTAGTTAGTTTAATTTTTGTGAGCTCTATTCTCCCGCTTGATATCCGTGGATCTCATACCATGAAAACAAACATAAACATACAGTCCACAAGAGTAAATAACCAGACGTGATCGAAGCTACAAAATAGACGTGTACACAATCCACGAAGGTAACTAACCAAACACAGCTGAAATCACGAAATAGATAAAAGTCGTGTTTGATTATTTACCCTCATAAACTGTGTGTTCACATTTGTTAATAGTTCTGATAAGTCCTTAAAAATATGATTTTAATTATTTGGTGATTTTCATACTCCATTGATTTAAATTAGTAAATATTACTACATTTATCTATTTTATTTATTTGTCTTCTTAAGATCAAGTGATAAGGATATTTGATATTATGAATTTAATGATTTTAGATTTTATTCAAGGCTATATAGAATTCTTTACGTTCAAAGTTTATTAAATATTTTATATAAATTTGTTGTCTCTTTAATTTATATCATCATTGTCATTCGTTCATTTTATCATTTTAAATTTTATTAACATTGGGACGTTATTCATTGGAAAGCATTTGTTTGGTCTTAAATAGAATAAATGATGTTGTATCCCTTGCTTGCCTTTGAAGGGTATATTGCTCGATTGATTAGAAGATCTTCTAAGGATACCTTCATTTTGATGTAAACAATTAAGTATGTGTTATATTTTAAATTTATGATTAATTGCTCTACGCTAACTATAGATAAGATTATGATCTGTAATTTGTTTGTCTGACTGTTCTGCATTTCTAATTTGGGCTAGATATGGCACTTGTAGAGATTATGGGAAGCCTTATTTACAAGGGAGCTTTTGCTAAATTTCTACTGAAAGTTTAGGAAGGTTTTTTTTCCCCCGTATACCTGAAAATGTGGCAATGATTTCTAATCGTATTTCAAAGAAATCAAGATGTTAAATTAGAGATTTCAAAATCAAGGATTAAGGGATATATGTTTATGCATATATCCTGTGCTGGTCTCATATACGTTTTGGGGTGTGACAACCATTGTTAGCCCTGCATGGTTTTTCTCTGGAAGCCAATGAAGAAGGTTCAAAAATCATGTGAGATTGATTTGTTCTATTTGGTTTTGAATTTAGATTTGAATTTGTTCTTTGCATGGCTGTTCTTGCTTTGTTCCGTGGAGAGGCAGAGAAAGCAGTGGAAATGGGAACTTGCGGATGGTCTTCTTCTCCTTCTTTAGGCATAGTATGCTCTTCATTATCTCTGCCTCCTCTACCATTTCATCCTGCTCTAGTTTCATGCCCACTACGTCAGCCTCAAATTTTTCTATCCCCATTTGACAAAACGCTTCGCCAGATCCAGAATTCTAGAGCCATATCTTGCCTTTGGGCCAACAGGTATCTATCATACTTCTGTCCTCATATTTTCTATGTTGTTATGAGCTTTTGTTTTTGTTTTGTATTTTTTTTTTTTTTGCAGAATTATGATAAGTATTTTGGGCTAAACTTTAACTTGTATGGTTGTTGATTGATTTATTTGCATTTTTTTTTTTGTCTTCCTTGTAGTTTGATTTTTGATATTTAGGTAGGTTGCTCTTTTTGGCATCCACTTTTCCTTGTAAAGAAACATATCCCTGGTGACTTTATATTTTTGGGGTTTTTTATTTTTTCATGTTTGTTGTTTTGGCAGTGGATTCTTAATTACTCTTCCATATTGATTTAAATTGGTTGTTGAAATCATGCGTGACTATTCCTAACTAATTTTTCTACAATCATTATTACAATCATATACATGCTAATTTACTGCTATTGGAACAGGTCAAGCATGTTGAAAGTTTGAATTCTTGATGACCACTTTTATGGATCTATGGATGTCTATGAGTGAGTGTAGCATACTTCCAGTTTTGACTGTGGTAGTTTTAATTTTTGATTTGGAGTCCACATATAACTTGTGAGGCCAGGATAGCCTAGTTTCTATATAAGGTTGAGTCAGAAAGGGTAGTTATTTTTTCTGCTTAGTTCTTACTACGTTTGTTTCTCTTGTTCTGATGACAATATTTATTTATAGAGTTTGACTTTTATTAGAATGTCAATAAAGAGATAAATTTCAAAACTGTTATCGGCTCATTTTATGTTTTTGACTGACATATAGTGCAGAAGTGGCATTAGATGCTGCACGTGCTGCAAAAGCAGGTGGCATTTTAGTTGAGTTTTTTTATTTCCTTTTCTCTAATAATTATTAGCAGAAAAAAGGACATTCTGTATTTGATAAAATATTTTACATCCATTTGAAATCAATCTTAATAGTTGGATCAGAATAAGCAGGTGGCATTTTAGTTGAGTTTTTTTATTTCCTTTTCTCTAATAATTATTAGCAGAAAGAAAGACATTGTTTATTTGATAAAATATTTTACGTCCATTTGAAATCAATCTTAATAGTTCTTTATTTGATAAGCAGGTGGCATTTTAGTTGCTTTAGGGCCATCTAGTAATAAGTTACCCTCTGAAACAAAAGCCTGAATGTAACTCCTCATTGATGACCTTGAATTTCATAATTCTCTGTAACTTTCATAGGCTAATAAACACTTATGTAATAGCTGAATAAACACTTATGTAATAGTTGAAACTCCTTCTTCAGCATTTAAGTCTTTAGGTCTAAGGTTTAGTATAAATAGCTGTATCATTTCCTTTGTAAAGGCATCAAATTAGAGAATAAACAGAGAACTTTGTTTAGAGAGTGGTTTCTGTGCCATTTTGGTATCAAAGTTGGTCCACAAAGTGAAAGAGTGAGGTAGAGTTGAGGAACTACATCAGACGGGAGAGTAGCTCGGAGGAAGAGTCCATGACTTGTTCGAATCCTACATTTCGAATGTTTTCTTCAGAAACTAATGTCACCATCGCGCTCAGGAGGTCCAAAAACATGGAATAGGAGGTTCCCTGTCTCCAAAAACGTCTTCACACACTGCCACACGCTGTCGCCGTATTCCCACTCACTGCACGCGCCAACCGAAGCTAGAAGACGATGACGTCATCTGCCATGTCATCAATCAGACCGGTCAACGACAGGTCAGTCCAATCATTTCTTGCCACGTGTCACGGTAGCCACGTCACCCTACCCAGTCAGCCATATTTCCCAAAATTACATTTTTGCCCCAAATCTTTCCATAATTCCATATTAAACCCTTAAGTTTATGAAATTTCATATTGACCCCAAAAGTTTTCAAACTTCCATTTTGACCCCTAAAATTTCCTGAAATTACATTTTTCCCCTTAATATTACTGACCATTATATTTTCCATAAATTACAGTTTGACCCCATACTTCCAGAATCCCCATTTTTACTCCTAGATTGTCCAAAATTCCCATTTTTCCCTATACTTTCCAAAATTCCATTCTACCCTTATATCCTTTCAACGTTTCCATTTTGCACCTCAATCCTTCTAATATCCCTAGCCTTGACACATATCAAAATGCCTCCAAGATGCCGGCATGTGCATAAGGTTGAGATGGAAGAGATGAGACGTAGGATACAAGAGTTGGAAGCCACTGTGGAATTGCTGCGAACTCTATTAAACAACAATAGAGAAAACTTAGATGGAGATTCAAGAAGCAGCAATTCATCATCCACTAACAACCGCCGCCGTCCACGACAACAACAATTTTGCCTTAATGACATTAAGGTAGACATTCCTAAATTCGAGGGAAGACTCCAGCAAGATGAGTTTGTAGATTGGCTGCAAACTGTTGAACGAATATTTGAATACAAGGAGATTCTATATGTGCAGAAAGTCAAAATTTTCACCCTCAAACTTAAGAAACATACTTCTATTTGGTGGGAAAACCTCAGACGGAAGCAGAAACGTGAGGGAAAGCACAAGATTGAAACCTGGGAGAAAATGTAATGCTAGCTTACCAAGAAATTTCTGCCATATCATTACCACCAGGATAATTTTATCCAGCTACAAAATCTTCAACAAAGATCTTTATCTATAGAAGAATATACAGAGAATTTGAGCAGCTCATGATAAAGTGTGACATTCAAGAGAAAGAGGAACAAACAATAGCTCGGTACCTTGTAGGCTTAAACACAGATATCAGTCATCCAGTCCAGCTTCAACAGTATTAGACCCTAGATTATGTCATCCGACTAGCTATGTGTGTTGAGAAGTAGACGCCCAAGAGATCCACTTTCCAGCCTTCATCCTTTAGGGGTTATCCAGAAGGCCGTAAGGCAGAATTTCAGCAGACTAACTCCTCAAGCAAGCCACAATCTACCGCTATGCGTAAACCACCATCCAATGCTGCCAAGGAATCTGGCTCTAAAGTAATCAAATGCTTTAAATGCTAAGGATTGGGCTACATTGATGCGGACTGTCTTACTCGAAGGGTTGTCACCATTAGGAAAGGACTAGAGTATGAAGCACTTGAAGAAGATGAGGAGGACACTGAGTTCTACGGCACTGATCTAGTATATGATGAGGAGGTCACACCTACTGATCAGGGAAAAGCATTAGTGCTTAGACGAAGTCTGCATACAACAGTAGTCAAAGAAGAACCTTAACTATGATACAACATTTTTCACACTCGTTGCACGGCCCAATGAAAAGTTTGTAATGTCATCATTGACAATGGAAGCTATGAAAATGTAGTATCTGACTACATGGTGGAGAAATTGAAGTTGCCAACACAATATCATTCGCAACCTTTCAAGCTTCACTGGCTTAACAAAAGGAATGAGGTAAAAGTTTCTAAATAATGCCTTGTGACCTTTTCTATTGGGAATCGATATTGTGATGAAGTTTTATGTGATGTTGTTACCATGGATGCATGCCACCTTCTCTTGGGGAGGCCATAGTAATATGACCGACATGCTATGCACAATGGACGAACAAACACCTATTCTTTTACAAAAGATGGTGTCAAGTTCACACTAGCACCTCTACCATCCAGCGAGATTAGCCAATCTTCAAAGAGAATCTAGTGCCTCTAAGCCATTAGTGTCTTTGATGACTAAGGAGGAACTCAAGGTGTCGAAGTCCGAAGCCCAAATGATGAGGTTTATTCTGGTGCTTGAGGTGAACGACGAGTCTGCCAATTCACAAGGAGTCATTTTGTTGTTGTCAGAATTTCCAGATGTAATATCTGATGAGATACCATAAAGGTTGCCTCCCATGCGAGACATACATCACACTATTGAATTCATTTTAGAAGCAGTCATTCCTAACAAGCCTGCTTACAAAATGAGTCCCCAAGAACATGCCGAAGTCCAACTGCAAGTTGAAGAGTTGTTGAAGAAAGGGTTGGTTCGAGAAAGTATCAGCCCTCGTACCTATTCTTCTAGTACCTAAGAAGGATGGGAGTTGGAGAATGTGCATTGACTACCAAGCTGTCAACAAGATCACTATTAAGTATCGATTTCTGATACCTCAGCTCGATGATATGCTAGACCAATTGCATGATGCCATTACTTTCTCCAAAATTAACCTTCGTAGTGAGTACCACCAAATTAGAATTTGGCCAAGAGATGAGTGGAAGACTGCTTTCAAGACAGAGATGGCTTGTACGAGTGGAATATGATGCCTTTTGGATTAACAAATGCCCTTAGCACATTTATGCACTTGATGAATCAAGTATTAAGACCCTTCATTAGTAAATTGTTGTTGTGTACTTCGACGATATTCTTATTTACAACAAGAGTCAAGAAGAACATTTAGATCACTTGCGGTAAGTTTTGCAAGCCTTGCGTAAACAGAAGCTTTATGCAAATCTCAAGAAGTGCACCTTCCTTACAAATGAAGTTATGTTCTTGGGTTACATCATTACTGCAAAGGGTGTTCACGTTGATCCAAGCAAAGTTGCAGCCATTGACAACTAACTAATTCCTAAATCTATCCAGGAGATTCAAAGCTTCCACAGATTAGCTTCTTTTTACAGGAGGTTCATCCACAATTTTAGCTCTATTGCTACACCTCTTTTTGATTGCACCAAAGGAGAGAAGTTTCAGTGGACAGAGCAAGCTCAGAAAAGCTTTGAGAAGCTTAAGAAGAAGTTGACCGAAGCTCCAGTCTTAGCTCTTCCTAATTTTGACCAAGTGTTCGAAGTTAGCCGTGATGCTTCTGACACCGGCATTAGTGCTGTCTTAAGCCAGGAGGGCCATCCCATTACTTTTTTTAGTAAGAAGCTCAACGATGCCAAGCTTAGATATTCTACTTATGACAAAGAATTTTATGCCATTGTTCAAGCTCTCCAACATTGGAGTCATTATCTCTTGAATAAAGAGTTCATACTTTTTTTTAATCATAAGGCTCTCAAGTATTTGAATTCCCAGTAGAAAATCAACCGCAGACATGCCTATTAGAGTGAACTTTTACAGTCTTATCCATTCCTTATCAAGCATAAGGCTAGAACTTTGAACTCCGTAGCTGATGCTTTTAGCCATCGACATGTGCTACTCACAACACTACAAATTAAAGTTGTTGGGTTTGAACTTATCAAAGAGTTGTACTAGGATGATTCTGATTTTCATGGAGTGTGGGAAGCAACTGTAAATCAACCTTTCCACCAGTTCTATAGACATGATGGTTTTTTATTTTGAAGCAAAACCCTATGCATTCCACAGGGTTCCTTGAGAGAAGCCATAATTTGGGAAGTACATGATGGTGGATTAGCTGGACATTTTGGGCGAGATAAAACAGTTGACCTAGTGAAGGAGAACTTTTACTAGCCTCGACTTGAACGAGATGTCAACAAGCCTCAACTTGAACTTTTATCTCTATACCTTTTGAAATCCCCATTTTGCCCTTATACCTTCCAAAATTCTTATTTACCTTGATTCTCCTAAAAAAAGACCTCCAAGATGCAGGAGTGTGCACGAGATTGAGTTAGAAGAGATGAGATGTAGGATACGAGAGTTCGAAGCCGCTGTATAGATACAGCAAACTTTATTAAACAATAACAGAGAAAACCTAAAAGGAGATTCGAGAAGCAGCAGTTAATCATCCATTGACAACCGCCACCATCCATGATGACAACAATTCTACCCTAATGACATCAAGGTAGACACTCCTGAATTCGAGGGAAGACTCCAGCCAGATGAGTTTATAGACTGGTTTTAAATTGTTGAACGAGTATTTATTATAAGGTGATTCCAGATGCATAGAAAGTTAAGATTGTTGCCCTCAAACTCAAGAAACATACTTTCATTTGGTGGAAAAACCTCAGACAAAAGCGAGAACATGAGGAAAAGTGCAAGATTGAGACCTGGGAGAAAATGAAACGCTAGCTCACTAGGAAATTTTTGCCAAATCATTACCACCAGGATAACTTTCTCCAACTGCAAAATCTTCAACAGAGATCTTTATCTGTAGAAGAATATACTAGAGAATTTGAACAACTCATAATGAAGTATGACATCCAGGAAAAGGAGGAGCAAACAATAGCCTAATATCTTGCAAGCTTAAACACAGATATCAGCTATCCAGTCCAGCTTCAGTAATATTGGACCTTGGATGATGTAATCTGTCTAGCCATGTGTGTTGAGAAGCAGACGCCCAAGAAATACTATGAGCAAACCATCATCCAATGTTGCCAAGAAATCTAGCTCTAAAGCAATCAAATTGTCACGGGGCTAGTCTTTCGACCTGTGTGGCACTTAGACAATCTTCACTGAAAGTTACTAAGTAAGCCTAACTTATAGAAAATGAGGATGCTTGACTAAGTTGAGAAAAGGGAAAGCTTGAGGGCAAAGGATACTTGAGAGAGAGAACTTAGGGAATGTAAGAGTAGTATTGCTTTAAGAACTCCAGATTGGTTACAAATGAGTGGGGTGAGGTATTTATAAACCTCCCCTTGGATCTAGAAAGTTCTCACATCCTAAATGGACGGTCGAGATTAAATTGATCTTACGATTATAATTGTTTCTCTAGAATCCTCTCCTAGATATTTACATGGAAATATTGAGGTTAGAGTTATGTAGACTTTTCTAGAATGTCCTTGTACTCTCTAACACTCCTAAGGTTATCCGGGAGCCTTC